GGGCGGGTGGTGTTGGGGGTAGGGAGAAAGGGAGGGAGAGGTCTTTTTTTTCTCTTTATTCTTTTTTCCTTGAAAATGGAAAGACTCAAATATCCTTAAAAATGGATGGAAAATTGGATGGTGTTAAAGTTAAATGACAAATCATGGATTTTGAAAAATTAAGGTGACATTTCTTTTAAAATTTTCTTTAAGAATGATACTAGGTGTGTTGCAGGACTTTGAACTTGCTTTTTTTTTTTAGGGTTCTAAGGGAGCTAAATCTCAAAAACAAAAACTACATAATCAAACTTCTGGTCTAGTAAATCCACTCAAATCTTCCAGTAGAGAATGTCCAAATCCTTCAGGCACACCCTCCCAAGTTATACACCCCAATTCTAATTTTGATCCCAAACATGCCAAGTTATTCGCAAGGCAATTTCATTCTCTACATTTATGAGTAATACTGCAGTCTTTGTACAAAAGCATCTTCTGGCAGTTAGTCACCAAATTATTAAAGGGACGCTCCTCCTCCAAATCTAAAAATAGCATTTGCACAGCAATTTGAGAATCAGATTCAATATCAAGTGGGAACCATCCCTTCTAGCATGCCAAAACAATTACATGGTTTGAATAGGATTTGCATTTTTTGTTAATATCAACAAACTAGGATTTGATAACACTTATATTCAAGTTGTGGATAACATCATGACAACGTTGAAAGCGCATTGTGAAAACCTGGTCTACAAAGAATAAGAGGGTGATAGCTTCTACTGCATCTTGGACCATTGTCAAATGAGTTTTTGAAGGTTGTCAAATAAATTTGAACAAATTTACATATACGACAACATCAAAGACACGTCATTAAATCTATAAGACTTTTAACAACATCAAGATACACAACACCTGCAATCGCATTGTCAAAAGACATACACAGCAGTCATGGCGCTGTTGTTGAATACATATATTGTTGTAGTGTCCGTAACCTTTTATAAAAAGAGAATGATACTTTAGTGTGAAAACCTAATCTTCAAAGCTCATAATTAAGGATTTGTCAAAGAATAAGAGAGTGAGTTTTGCATTCCGTTTTCTTCAAGGTCTCCCTCTCTCCCTCTCATCTTGGCCTCCTTCCCGGTAATCTCTACCGCGTCCTTGGAGCATTGTCAAATGAATTTTCGAAGGCTGTCGAATGAGTTTGAATTACTTGACATGAATGACAACGTCAAAGACATGAAAACATTAAAGAGAATGAGAAGAATCTGAGAGAATTGAAGAAAAAGATTTTGTTTTCTATTTCTGTTTCTTACTGATAATGAATGAATTACTGCCTACACGATTCTTATGTGTTGTTACATTGTAATCTTCTCGACTAAGCAATCTAACTAACTCAACAAATCACAACATGACACTTGTCATCTTATAACAGGTACAAGTGCCTTTATATCCTATCATCCCCCCTCAACCGCATGCACAGGAGGACCAAGCATGAGGTTGGAACAGTGATAATCAAATTGAGGAGAGCAGAGGCCTTTAGTAAGCACATCAGCAACTTGCTGGGCAGAAGAAACATACTGAAGAAGGAAGTCACCGCGAGTGACTCTCTCACGAACAAAGTGACAATCGATTTCAATGTGCTTGGCACGAGAATGAAGCACAGGATTAGATGACAGAGCCATGGCAGAGATATTATCACAGCATAAAACTGGTTTCTTAACAAGAGGACAATGTAGATCAGTAAGAAGCTGCTGAAGCTATACAATTTCAGCTGCTGTCACAGCCATTGCGCGATATTCGGCTTCAGTAGAAGAACGTGAAACAGATTATCTGCTGGATATTGAATCTGAAGGCCAAGAAAATAATGAAGATCCCCAAGATTTTTCATATCAAACTCCTGTGAAAGTTGATCAATAATCAATTGAACAACAGCGAAATCATATTCGGTGATGATAATATCATCGACATATAACAAAAGAAAGACCAGAGAATCAGACTTTTTGCAGACAAATAAAGAGGGATCAGCATATGAAGCTGTGAAGCCTAAAGTAAGAAGAAACTTAGTGAATCGGTCATTCCAGGCTCGAGGGGCCTGTTTGAGGCCATAGAGAGATTTAACCAACTTGCAGACATGATGGGGATGGGAAGAATCAATGAAGCCAGGAGGTTGGGACATGTAAACCTCCTCGTGAAGAATACCGTGAAGAAAAGCATTCTTCACATCTAGTTGTTGTAGTTTCCAACCAAAGGTAGCAGAAAGAGCAAGCATTAACCGAACTGTAGAAGGTTTTACAACAGGACTAAAAGTCTCTGCATAATCCAATCCAGCCTCTTGAGAGAACCCCATTGCAACCAAACGTGCTTTATACCTTGCAACAGACCCATATGAGTTTTTCTTAATTCTATAAACCCACTTACAACCTACTAGATTGCGATTGGGAGGTATAGGAACCAACTGCCAAGTACCCTGAGCTTTTAAAGCATCCATTTCTTCTTGCATAGCTAACTGCCATTGAGGAACTTTAGCGGCTGAGGCATAAGTATGAGGTTCTGAGATAACATTGTTAGAGATATCCGTAGTGAGAAAAGCTTTATGCTTGAAAATGCCAGATTTACTTCTTGG